GACGAATGAGCATTGAAACTCCTACATAGGCATACTGTACATTTTGAAGCATTGGTTGCTTACAATTTGAGTCGTTTGTACTGCACATTGGCATGCAGTTAGAGGCATTGGCACAGTATGTACTATCCACTATAGGACTAAAGTCTTGGACAGCCGCACGGAGTCTACACTAGTAACCTCAGGCAGTGAGGAAAAGTTATTAACCGGTACAGTACTCTTAACCACATGTGATTTTTTTGAAGAAGTAATTTTTTTAACTTATTGTGTTTATATCATATCATAGATTTAACTATGATACTACTCAATACCAGAGGTCACTAGTGCGTCTGTCCACCACTTGAGTCCCAGAGTGTACATTGGTATATATTTTGAAGCATTAGTTATGTAGTTGTTCGCTATTTACGGTAACACTTTTGAAGATAGAGTTAAAATTTTGCATGTAGTTAAGCATGTATTCGAGAAGTGTCACAGAGGTGGATTTTATTTATTATTATTATTTTTTTTTTTGGGGTTCATTTAACGGCTCCCCACCGTCAAAGGCGAAATCTCCTCATTGAAAATATGTACCTTTTTATCTGCTCTTTGCGCGGTCACGTTTTTTAATATAGGAAGCTGAAATTTGATATGCTCATGAATATTGCCTCGAGAATGTCTACGAACGTCAATTTTGGTGCCGACCCTCACCTACAAGTGAGCCCCCAGTGCACGACCAAGTAGGGTTGTTTCATGCACGTGCACTTACTTTTGGGGAGGCTGAACCCATTCTGGTTAACTTTACTTCGTCAAAAACACACCCGGGCAACGTCGGTTACCCCAGCTTGTGTCCTATCTACTAACTTTCTAGATTATTAGGTATAGGTAGAATCTGTTGTCACTAAAAACAAAAACTCGGTTTCTTCAGTTGTTTTACGGACACACTAGAAGATGACTTCTGCCTCCTCCCCTCACAGCCACCCGATCCACCCACTTCAAAACTAATTCCTCTGTGACTCAGTCACTAGGAATAATCTTATATTCCATCACCAAATGAGCTGTTGTTCTCCTTGGTCCACATCCTCTTACACATAACATGAAAGTGCTGATCCTTGGAGAGGAAAATGTATACAAAATTATTATCATCACCATCATCATCATCACCATCATTAAGGCTTTACGGCCATTTTCCGCGCTTCCCTGGGTTCGCGGCGATTACCTGATGGCAGTTTTCTATACTCCACGGCCTCTTGTAGCCTCCCTTGGCAGTTTCTTAACTTTAGTGTTATTTCTTACATTATCTCCCCCTGTCATTCACGGCCAGGCCCCTGGTCCCCCATTATCCTCATTTAGACTCCTTCATCTCTTAACCCTATTAAATAGGTCTTATCCATTCTCTCTCCTTACCACCCCAGCCTGCCTCTAAACAAAACTTAGTCAATACTCTCAATGCTCAGCTGTCATCTTAGCTATTAACAGGGCCTCCCGTCTTTCAGGTCACATTACACACACTTACCTCACCATTCTCATTTCAGTTCTCTCAAGCCTAAGTATGTCATCCTCTATAGTCTATACAGTAACTACCCTTGTTTCATTGTCCTACAACATTATACTTCTCAAGCCAGTTGCATACATTTTGTTATTCACGTGAAGGGGGTCATCTTGCCGCCCATAAAGGCAGCTACTCCCTAAACTTCTTCCAGCCACCATCTGACTCATCACCCTCACCACCACTAATTATATCACCCAGGTAACTGTACAGTACAATGTTCAGTTTCTCAAGCCTTGCTAAGATCACTGGTTTATATATGATTACTGTACAGGAGATTTAAACTGAGCAACTTCCTGCAGTCTGCCATCTACTCCATGCACTGCACGTCTAGCACTGAACTAACTCATTAGAAATGATTTAGGACCAAAGTTTATGTTTGACGAAGAAATTATAAAAAGGCCAGTCATGATAGCACTTACCTCTGTATTATCCGTGGGAGACCCAAGATAAAATTTACTTTCTCATTCTCTTAGACAGTTTTTTTTTTTTTTTTTTACAATTATTCAAGACATTTCCATAACTTTATATAACTTATACTATCCATATTTTTTTGCAGAATTTACATTGACTTAACACCCTGTGTATATGTATTGTAGTATAATATAGATTACATAATATAGCTATTATATGTATGTATCTATATAGGGTACATATTTAAAAGATAAAGGATGACCAAGTATTGACAGTAAAACAAATATAATTATCGAACTTATATCGTCAATGACTTTTCCCTTTTTTTAACTTTAATTGATGTAGTTGTGTTTTAAGGTCAGATATTATCTTTAGCATGTAAATGTCAAAGCTGTTCCAATAGTTAATTTGAAATGCAATGACGCTATGAATATTCTGAATCATTACGAGAGACATTTGGAACCGAGTTATAATCGCACATTTGAGCTCTAATAATCAACCACTCTCCCATTTCCGGATTATATATCAATTACCCTGATGCTTTTGATAAGCTATTAACACAAAAAAAATATGGAAAATTATTTATTTTTCCTATCTTTTTTATTGATTCTTTAAAAAAATGTTTTGTTTTTGAATGGTATATAATTAATCAGCCCGCCTCCACTCTCTTCGTTTTCTCTTATAACTACATAAATTATACAGTATTCAGCATCTCATACATCCAGTTTATATTACTCCTCTCACACTATTAAGGTTTCCTGTGGATCTCCATAGAGCCAAAAATTTTAAGTGTGAATTTTCCTTAGTATTATTTTCACTTGACTTCGATCCTGTGCATCGTTTTTTTTTCAGTATTTACAATAGTCTACGCCCTAGTGTGGGATCAAAGAAAACCCCCTAGACTCAGGGGTTTTCTTTGATCCCACACTATTCTGGCCCAATGCTCCTTCCTTATTTGGTGAAATCGATTATTTGCCACATATGTTGGTGAGTACGATTTGTTTTTACTTCACGTTATAAAAATAGGGTAGATGTTGGTCAGGAGTTCCTTACTTGGCGAGTCGAAGAATTTTGCAAGTTCAGTTTGTTAGTGACGAGATTACATGTGTCAGTAATATTGATCGGTTTGGTTTATTGTTTTTTTGTTGTTAGAAATTGAAAGTTTGACATATCAACGTTTAGCAGTTTGTTACTTGGTGAAATTGAAGGGGGGAATATATCAATTTAAAGGTATGGAAAGTGATACGTACAGAATGATACAGGCGTTAGAGAAACTTAAGAATAGACTGGAGTGTGTGTACAGTATACGAAAAGAGGTTTTGTTTTCCCTGAGATCAGCAGTATGGCACGGTTCTTATTTCTGTAACAAATAAGGAAATCTTGGATATTTGTTTCACTTACAGGAACGTGTGATACATATGACGCCTTAAGTAAGTGTGACCTCTGTTTTTTCTGGGAAATTTCTTTGGCATTAATGACTTTAATTTCAATAATTCTAATTTAAATATCAATATTGATTTTGTTTATTTAGTATTTCTAGAAATACCAATAATTTAATTTATAATCTTGCTTTTATTTGAATAATATATTTTGTTTATTCCAAGATTAATTAATGATGAACGTTTACTAGTAGAGTATTGTTTCACAGCGTTGATTAGCTTGACGTTTGCTTCACAGTAACTTCGTGGAATCTTCGTTCGTTTATTCCACTTATTGTTAAAGTAGAACTAAGCATGACATTATTCATGACAATCATTAATTCGACTTTGTGTATTTACAGTATGTATGTAATGTACTCCGTTATTTTCCCCATTGTTTAAGACACGAAAATGAAAGAAAAAATAATATGATGGATAAATAAATACCGTAGTTAAGTGGGAGAATGTGGCGTGGCAGACACTGCATTTGACCTTTCTTCTCCATCTATAAAGTTAAGTGCCCATTGACAGCTGATTGGACTGGGTGTTTCCCGGGATCAAACTAGCTACTCTTAGGGCAGGAGGTGATTGCTGTATCCCCCCTCCAAAAAAAATAATAATAATAATAAAATAATAATAAAAAATAAAATAAAATAAATAAAATGATCGTTAAAAAATGTGCATTGTCATAGTTCGTTTGTTTATTTTACGACTTTAATATTTATGTATTTAAAAAAAGTTTTAACCGGGTGCATGTACAATTCATTGGTTTAAAATGGTTTTAAGCGTAATATAAAGGATAATGGTGAAACTCTTCTCAACGTGAATTATATTGGGTTTGGGCTCATCGTGTGAATAGGCCAGGTGGCGTAGTTACTATGTTTAGTGATGTACAGTGAAGTTACGGAGAATTATTATTTTTTTCATTTGCATTACGTACTACAGCCAACATGCTTATGACAAAATAGATCTTACAGTATTTTTATTCGCTACTACTGTACCAGTAAAATATCCACTGCCAATTTTTTTTCAAGTACTGTACTGTACAGTACAGTACAGTACATTTATCCGGTAATAAACTTGGTTCATACAGTATTTACAAAATGCTAGTGAAGACTTTGACAATTCAACACGGTAACTCAGTACAGTATAATGTATTGTTGCCTAAACAAGCTTAGTTGGTTTGCTACAAAGAATTTTTATGTAACAGTTGTCACATTAATCTACCAAATGAGTGAATAACTGACACGCTCGGGCGCATACTTTTTTTTTTAATCGACATCGCCACTCGTTTGGGTATCAATGCGGTAACAATTGCTTATAATTATTTTTATAAATAATATTATATATCGCTTGCTTAAACCTCAACCCATCGTATAATATCACTATGTTTATTTATTGTACTAACGAGCCCCCTGGCACACCAGGCCCAGGCATAGGGGAGGCCTCATGACAGTTCCAAAATTTTGCAACGAAATGCATATCCAGTATATTGTCTGTAATAAGGAATGTCAGTACAAAGACGAGACTGTTCAACAAGCTGAGAAAATTACTAATTATGTGGCCCATATAGTAGTGTTCAGCTGTAAAATGGTAATTAATTTTAGGGTTAATCACCAGCTTACTAACAATAGACTTGTTTACAGGTATCAAAAGACGGCCGGGGCCATGAGTGCCGTTGGAGAAAAGACGTCTTCACTCTTTGGTGGCATTGGCGCCAAGTTCGGCCAGCTCAAAGAGACTCCCACATTCAAGTCTTTTGAGGAACGTGTAGGAGGTGTATATTCTGCCGCCAGGGTAAGTTCAAAACCTTTCTGTCCTCTTCTTTCTCTTTACCATTACTAATAATTCTTGTATCCTACTAGAGAAACCTGTCCCAACCCCCCCACGTATTTTGGTTATGCCGAAAACATGTAAATTCTCTGCCATCTTCATCCACGGCCGCCAGATCTATAATATATTTCAGCACCAGTCTGCTTACTGTCGTCAATCTTGCAAATTGGACAATGGTCCCCTGAGACGATTGTTATGGGTGATAGTAATAGGGGGTTCTATTTATGAGGAAAGGAGCTTAAAGGCATGTTGTTCCTCCACTAGGCTCTGACCACCTCCAGATTCCATAGGAGAGGGTCCCAATACTATATCGATACACCACACAATAGCTGCACACATCACACTGTACTTACACACCACACTGTACCTACACACCACACAGTACCTACACACCACACTGTACCTACACACCACACTGTACCTACACACCACACAGCACCTACACACCACACAGCACCTACACACCACACAGCACCTACACACCACACAGCACCTGTACACACCACACACACCCTACACACCACACAGTACCTACACACCACACAGGTACCTACACACCACACAGTACCTACACACCACACTGTACCTACACACCACACAGCACCTACACACAGTACACCACACACACACACCACACCTACACACCACACAGTACACACACCACACACACCCACACACAGTGTACAGGCACCCACACACACACACCCACACCACACACACCACACACCACACCACACACCACACTGTGCCCACACACACACACAGTACCCACACCACACAGGTACACACACACCACACTGTACCCACACACCACACAGTACCCACACCACACACACAGCACCACACACCACACACACCACACAGTACACACACACTGTACCCACCACACACAGCACCACACACCTACACACACACACACACACACACACACACACACCCACACAGTGCCACCACACACCACACTGTACCTACAACCACACAGCCACACACACACACTGTACACACACACACCACACTACATACCACACACACACACACCACACACCACACACTGCACCCACACACAGCACCCACACCCACCACACACACACACACGTACCCACACACCACACTGTACCCACACACCACACAGCACACACACACCACACACCCTACACACCACACAGCACACACCACACTGCACACACCACACACCACACAGACACACACACCACACCACCACACACCACACACCCACACACTTACCCACACCACACACACTGTACCCACACACCACACTGTACCCACACACCGCCACACACCACACACCACACACCACACAGCCCTACACACCACACTGTACCTACACACCACACTGTACCTACACACCACACTGTACCTACACACCACACTGTACCTACACACCACACTGTACCTACGACACAGGACTTGCACACTACGCAGTTGCTCTGATGAATTGAAGGTCCCTCTTGAGCCAGCATTGTCCAACTCGTTTCTCCTTCACCAAGGTCCAGCAAATGGTATCTGCTACAGGTATTATAGTCTGAATGAGGTCAAAGGAATCCAACTAAGCCAACCACTCGTGTTTTAATTCCTGTACAGCAGTGTTAAGAGGACTGGTCATAGTTGATTGGCCTTCTACCATGACTTTCCTTTCATAAAAAAAGAAGAGCTATATGGTGACCCCAAACAACACTTTGAGAATAGTTTAGCCAGGAAGTAGAACAAGAAGAGCATTTATTACTACACAAAGTAAATAGAACCGAGTCGATCCCAGTTGTAGGCAGACTTAATTGTTTCCAGAAATTTTAGATTGATAAATCCTTAGGATTCCAAAGAGATTAAGATTGAGCTCATGTAGAAGATGGGTTCTCTATCCTGTTACAGAATTTCAGATTAAAAGAAAGCAAATGTTGAAAGTAAAATATGTGCAGGATTCTATGACTTTTTTGCAGTGTACAGTACATTTATTTTTTTTCCAAAGTTCATGTATAATGTACGTACAGTCCCCTTCACTAGTGCATTTCCAGGGGTTCGTCAGGTTTTCTACAGTGTGGCAGCCCTGTGTTTGTTTACATTCGGCAGAAGGAAACTAGCAATCGTAAACATAATATGGGAACAAATTAAAACAATATTAAAACAAACGTCTCAATGTAATGATTTGTGGAATGTTTATATGACGTGACCCTGTAAACATAGTAGTGAAGGGGCTATACATGCCTTCAACACAAATTCAACATAAATTTTATTAATGCCAACAAGAATAAAGTTTAACATCATTAGTTGTCATATGTACGCCGGCTGGGTGAGTACTGTACTGTATTTCCCTCTGTAATTAAGATATGCACAGTATGTCATACAAAATTTGGAAAATAACTTCCAATGAAATGTCAAAAATAATTACTGTACGTATACTGTATTGAAAATTGAATTGATGAATCAGCGTTGTATTTTGTTTTTGAAAATATCCTAAAATATATTAACAAGTAAAATCTGCTGAGCCAGCCTAGTGATTTGCCATTCACTCACTGATTAATTTAATTACTATGACCATATGTATTTTTGTGACGAGAGTTAGCAGTAATATATATTTTAGAATCATTACCTTAGTATTACTGTTCATTTATTTTCACAAAGTAAGTTTTCCTCATTTATCAGTGTACAGTACAGGTAATTGCATAATTCCTGATTTATGTAGCAACTGGCAAGCACAGCAAAATCTTGATAGCAAAATCTTGATAACTGAATGATATGATTAATTTATAATTCAATGAATACTGAATCATAAATAATCAAAGATATGGTATTACTAAGAAAACCCCCAATGTTGTCTGTGAATGTAATTTATACAAATACAGTTATCAGTTGAAGTGTTTATGAAAATCCACTAATTGAATATGATTATTTCCTCTCATTAATATTCTAAGTGTGAGCATTTAGGCCACTCGACAAGTTAATCTACCTTTATGTCAATGTAAATATCAAACCAAGGGAGGAAAATTTTTATATTTTTATACTAAGTAATTGAAGTGTCTGGTATATAAAGTCCTATGTGTTGAATTATTCCCATGTTGTGTGAATGGTGGTCTTTTGAAGGGTTTTACCATGGCAGTGAGAGACACATTAATCCAGTAATGAAAAAGGTTGTCTGGCTACATTATTTGCACCTTATTTGGAGAATGAAATGCTTCTCAACCAAACTCACTTGAGAGGATTTGTCTCCACGTAGAATAATAGTTATAGTGTATCTGGCAATTACTAAACCTCTTCAAGTTTTGGGTCAATGCCAGTACAGTACTGTACTATTATACCTGGGACAATAACATTCAGTGCACCTGGGTTGATAAAGCATCACAACTGGGTGGTCTTCATCATTGTCTGCCACCATTCAGTATCTGAGGCAACACAACACAACACAAATTCAACTCATCCATTTCATCAATGCTAACAAGACCAACAGTCAGAGTAACATCAAAGTTTGGCCATCATGCTCTCATCTCATTCACTACCTACAAATTCTATAATTCATTTAAATGATCATGGTGACTCAACTGGTTTTTCACATTTAACTTTACTTTGTCTCGAAGGTAAACTCTGTTGTTTGCTGTGTTATTTATTCAAAGGCCTCAATCCTGGCATATTTAATGAAAATTAATTCCCAGAATTTTTATTTGATAAGGCTGAAATGTGGGCTAAGAGAGTGTAGTTACTCTGTTACATGTATTGTTGTGTCCCAAGTACAGTATTTATGTGACACACGTCAGATGTTTACACCAGGTGCCTCTATATGGAAGTTATCAAATTTACATAGGAAAGGCTTTTCTGTGAATTATTATGTGCTACTGTACTTTATGTTCAGTGGTGAACATGATAAAATCTTTTATGAAATTTGAAGGTTGATTGATTGGAACTTTGTCATTCTATGGGAACAATTTATGTAATATCCTAAGTGATATAGTGTAATACCCAGCAAGGCTGATCTACCCTTCTGCACCACAGTACAGTAGTTCTTCTGAGGGGGGCTTGTTCGAAGGCCCTTTACTTGGGTAATGCACACCCTTTGGGGGGATCTTAGGGGCATGCCTTGGTGTTTTTCAATTGCACCCTGTGAGTCACATTGAACTACCGTTGGTTGACTTAAACTTGGAACATAATCTTGCTTTCAAGATATGAGGATTTATTTATTTTGGATTTGTGGCATAATTTATTTATAATTTTTAGAGTCAGCCATAAGGTTGATTAATAACAATTCAGGGACTTATCAGGCAAGTGGATCTTCTTTGGTCTTGATGCTACCAAGTTGAGACTTTGGGTTCATGCTGCCAAATGTCAAAGTGAGTGAATGTTTACAAACATATATTTTATCCATAATGTTGGAGACTAATGGTGTAAGTACTAGTAGGGCTGTACCATGGAAATTGATTGGAACTTTTAATTTATTATACAGGTTCTCTTCTACTTGCAAACGAGTTACGTTCCTGAGGCTTGTTTGTAAGTCCAACTTTACTCTTGTCGATACCAAACATACTGTATTGTAAAATATTAAGAAACAATAATAAAGGCTGTACAGTACAGCTATATCCCAGTAATAAAAGCAGCTCATTTTTCTACACTCTACAGTATATCTTGCCAGTCTTTAACAGTATTTTAATGTACAGTATAAATAGTCAATTGTACAAATGGACAAATTTGTTCACATCACTAAAAGGTTGTTAGTAGAGGAGCACCTATACTATGTGATAAGTGTTTACTTTTAATTGTTATTCATATCCACATTTTAATTTACTGTATTGTATATGTGATGAATTACCTGTAAAATCCATCAATCATTTAAAGGGTTTTGGGTTAGCTCATGAGGATACACATAGACCCAGATGTATGGGTACTTGACTTAGTCATCACTACTGGAGGAAATTATTGAAAGTACAGTACAGTATCACAAATATTAAATTAGTGGTACAAGGGAAAAATGTACTGACACAAATATAGTATACAAATTAACCTTCCTGAGAACAATGTACTGTACATTAATTGCAAACTAGTTGATTTTAAAATATACTCAACAGAAAATAAAAATTAGTAGGCATTTAGAAATAAGTTCAAAGTCAAAGATATTTGGTAGGAACTGAGAAAAACAAATAAGATATCAATAAAATAAATCGTTTCGCATTATACTGTACTATACATATTTAAAAATTTTGAGTTGAATTTCAGCAATAATTGATTTTCAAGATTATGTTGTCAACTGTGGCATACCTGTGCCTGAATATGAGAATTTCCAATTACCGACTTGACTGAAAAAAAACTGTTTCAATTACGGCCAGGAATGGTTCACTGATAACTTGATAACTTGATGAAACAAAGAAATTTGAGTTGTGATGCAGATGTCTTCTTTGAAGCAAGAATGAGCAAAGTTCAGTGTTGCTAAAGGTATGGATGTAAGTTATCATACTTGAGCCTTTAAAAAGTTTATTTTGCTGAAAATTATATATTCCATCAAATAATCAAGGTGCCATCCTCATGTCTCAGGAATGATGTCCATGGCCATCCACTCCAAATATTATCAGGCTGTATTAACCCAAACTCTGAGTTTGTTTATGTATGGGAAACCATTTTTTTTTTTCATTCATCCATCCTAACCTCTTAACTTTTTCTGTACCTGTTCTTACCTTCAATTTTACCCATTAATAACTCTTACCATTATTCTCTTATTCCCAATTACTAATACATTATACAGTATGACCTTAGTGTCTCATTGTGGCGACCTGTGGTGTAATGGTTAGCATCCTCGCCTCGCAAGCGAGCTGGTCCGAGTTCGATCCTCGGGCAGGGTGAAACTATTGGCAAATTTCTTTATGCCATTTGCCTCTGTCTACCCAGCAGTAATTAGGAACTTGGATGTTAATCAATTTGCGGATCGCATTCCGGGGTAATGGTCAGCCAGTACAGTTGGCGAGTTGTCCAATCTTCTTGGACTATTCCTTGACACTGGGTCATGCAGCTCGTTAACTTGGGGTGTGGTTTTTGTGTTGGCGACAGCTTCTACACCTCAACAAATTCACGCCTAGGAGGCCCTTGGGCCGGCCATCCTCGATTTCGAGGGGTTTCCTTTCATATTTCTTGAGTAAATTTCCAGTATTTCTTTTGTTGCTTCAGTCTATCTTAAACCAGTTCTTTTCATATCAATATAACTAATCTTTAGCATTCTCCTATACTGTAGTGCTATATTTTCAAGGTGTTGAGCCTCAATCATATCTGCTGAAAGTGTTAATGCTTTTGACCTGTAGCATTTCAGCACCCAGTTTCTTAGACTAATATCAAAGTCCTCCTTAACAGATTTCTATGGTCAATAGATTCTAATTTTTGGGTGGCCTATTTTTACTCGGCTTTCTCTCTCGTGTCTACCTTCACAACTTATGTTACTTTCCAAATACACCAGTTTAATTTTCCTGTTAGATACAATAATTTGTACCTGCATTTTAAAATTTATTTTCATTTGTAAACAACCATTACAGTATTTCCATCTGTAAAACACCTACCCAAGCCATTCTCCACCGAACAGTTGACCAATTTTTTTAATTATTCTTCTCTGTATCACATAATTTACATTGTCTTTGTGTTAACATATATTCCTACGCCTTTTCTTATAACTTCCTTTTATTTTTAATGTACTACAGTAGACCCTTGCTATTCTCAAGGGATAGGTTCCAAGAAATGGCATGAATTAGCAAAACTGCGAATTGCAACTTATACTTCCTTAGTGCACTACTGTATACCTACCATACCAAACAACTGACCAGTTGCAACAGCAATCCTCCCCTCTTTTAACTTATCTAATAATAAGATTTTCTTTGTCAGGGTCATCACTAATTTCTGCCTTTTACGTTTCACTCCACAAGCACTGACACTAGGTAGTCTTTTAGGGGCCATTTCACACAGAAACACTAAAGTTTTGAGAGTACAACATGAGGTGCTGTGTGGGGTGACTTGTTTTGCTGTGGGAAAAGGCTCGCAAGCTAGCCACCATCTGCTTACCGCGAATCGCAAACTTGCGAATGGCAAGGGTCTACTGTATAATGAATATTTAATGTTGGAGGTACCAGTAAAGATTTTTTTTTTTAATTATTATATCTCCATAATTAATGCCTGTGTTTTTAAAGAAATCTCTTAAGCTTCGTGTGTTTTACCCTTTCACGTACTGTAATTTTTCAAAATTTCTTTGAACTTCTAAAGGTCTCTCATTTAAATTCTCAAATCTAAGGTACCTTCTTTAGTTTCTCATCCCAGTTTAAATCTATTTGATCATCAGATTATTCATTGTATATTGTACTTTTTTCTTTTTATTTGATATTATGTATAACAACACTTATTACATACAGCTAATTAAACTGATTGTGCTAAAGTAGTTAATTCTAAGGGTCATTTGCAGCATGTCAGCATCACCTCACCCAGTTAAAACTCTATTGTACTGGCAACTGGTCAGCCATGATATTATCACTGACACGCCTCATCAATGGGAACAGTATTTGCCAAAAGACATTACTGGACAATCTAAGGAGGGCATGGGGGCCAAGGGCATGATCAGATATGGGGAGGCAAAATTATATATCTGCTCCTTTCCAGAGTTACATTATTTCCTTGCCTTTAAGGGTGCAGTACTTGAGCTAATACTCTGGACAACACTTGCCTCCATTCTAAAGTGTTGCTAGCTCATACCCCAATACACTTAGCTTTGTATTAGCACCTAACAATATAATTGGGGAAGTGAGAGTAATTGAATGAAGTGACAGCCATATTGCTTCCCTGTGTATTCACTAAAGGTTTCATGTGATCAGTTTACAAGTGGGACACTGGAAATATTACCCCAATTTTAACATGGCTATAATTGATTTACAAATCTACTGAATGTGTTTGAACTTAATCATGCAGAATAGACAGGAACTACTGTACAGTATATCCAACATGGATTACCAAATCAACCTAGTAAACAGCCTGGATTACAAGAGCTGTAATCCCCAACAAATTGGCTTCTGGAAGCAGTGCTTCATTTTACATTTCTTTTTTATCATCATCATCTTAAAATGCAGAAAATTTCAAGTTATTTAGTTTTTAATTAAATGAAGGAAATTTATATAGTATATAGTCCATTTTTTATTGCATTTTTATGTCTTCATCTTACAGGACATAAGATTTTTTGTAGTTACTGTACAGCATAAAAATATATACGATGAAATGACTATAATATTAAAATAATGATCAGATACCAAAGTTCTATAGTGCAAAAAAAAGAATGCCACATTTTAAATACATATCGTATTTTATGGCATATAAGACGCATGACCATATAAGACTCGCCCCCTTTTTCAGCAGGGAATACAGGTATTTAGGAAAACCTTTTGTGTGTATTTTCCTCCTGTAGCCATAGCTTTCTTAAAACAACATACAGTATACAGTACGTACCAGTAAATGTGAGGAATAAATAAAAATACAGTAATACCAATAAATGAGTTAAGCAAAAAATACTGTATTGCAAAACCAGTAAATAAAAGCCAAATGAAAATTTAACAGTCGCCATTTGCATATATACTATATCTGTCCTCCCTGTTTGCCATAGCAACGGCGATGCTACCGTCACTGATTCCCTAGCAACACTCCCCCCACCACCAACCGCCCAGCCGTCCTCCCACTCCCCCACTAAGCCAGCTAACTTGTGCGCAAAGAAATGTATATTCCCTTTATGTGTTTTCCCTTAGGACAAGAAAGTTAAGTAGAGTACAGTATATCTACCCAAAATACGAGTTGAAAAATAACAGCTTGGCCAAGTAGCTTGGTGGTTACAGAGACGAGTCTAACCTGGCTACAATGCCGCCGGCAATGTGAACAGATGTAAATGAGAAAAGAAAGTTTTCTGTAAATCTTCATTTTTATCAGGTATTTGTAGATTGAAAAATATACTGTACCTGTATGTTGAAGGTATGGCATTAAGTGATAGTAATGCTTGTAAAGTGTTCAGAAATGGTTGGGCGTCTGCTGTAGGGAAGTTAATTGTCTCAGGTTATTGTCATCAATACAGTACAGAGTACAGTAGTTATAGATTGACCTTTTATATTAGCAATAATTATTTTTTAATTAATTAATTAATAATAATAATAATAATGTTTGATTAAGCAATAACATATTTTTAATTCTGGATTTGGGTCAGGTAAAATTTAGCCTACTGGAGACAGCAACGGGGGGATTCATTAGCTTGCGGGAGACCGCAGCTTCACATACAGGACGCAGGCTGATTTTTTAGCCATTTTTTTTTTCAGACAAAAAGTATGTCTTATATGCCGTTAAAGACGGTAATTTATTTCCCATTTCTTTGTTCCTGCTATATTTTCTTCATAATTTACGAGTAGTACAGTACGGCCATTCAGTCACAGATATAACACACTGTATAGTTCCATCAGATACCATAATTTTAGTGATTACTACATAATACTGCAATAGATACTTAATGTAATGCCCATAACTATTGTGTGTTTCAGACTCGTATGGGAGGTTCTGGATCCAACTCAACGCAGGACTTTGAGGAGGCTCTGAAGGAAGCTGAAGGAGAGAAGGCAGCATTAGAAGCAGCAAATGGTGGCACCGTGCAAACTTCCACCACACCTGGAACTGATGTCAGCCAGCCGGCTGCATCCTAAACCACTTACCCCTACTGCCACCTCCACTACCACCTGCACTCTGCCACCCACTGCACTCCATCACCACAAAAACTAGAGTCGATAACATTTTCTAGCTACAGTGGCTCCCATAGTCCTTTGGTAGTCTTCATCATTCTCTGATATATATTTTCATTTTAAAATAGTTTTATGAAATTTAAAGCTAGTGGATTTTGTGGGTTTTATGATATATTTTTACTAGAAATGACTGTCTGATTTTGGGTGTCCACATGGCAGCAGTTATAGTCTGCTCTAGCTTCCACTCATGGGACATTATGTCTGATTGTAGACAAGACTTTAGGTCACCCATTGAACAAAGCTTTGAGAGGTTAGGACACAATTATTTTCAAAGAACCAAGCTTTCTGATAATAGGACATAATTAATTTATTCTTAAGCATTGTATACTGAATATTCATAGTCAATATTGCCTGTTGGGTGTTTTCAGATGACATTTAATGCATACTAACCAGCTGCAGAGTTGTGGTTTCATGAGATATATTATGTTGATCTTAACAGATATTTAGTTGATCCTTGTAGCATCTACTTTTATCCATTTATGTATAATACTGCAGTATATGTGGATACTGTAGTCTCCTTAAAGAAAATGTAACTTCAAGAAGATTCTAGAGTAAATACTTTTTATTTGCATAAGGAACTAAAACTCTGTCTAGTTTTTGGTTTTTCAGATATAGAGTTGTCATTCTTGTATTTAAGCATGTTTGTGTTGAGTATCTGAGAATTTGAGGGTAAATATATATTATGGTGCATTATGTGAGTGATTAAAGGTGTAGGTGGCTTAGGTATTAATTATTTATAGGCTGCCTTGTTATAATACTATGTCAGAGTGAAAAATTTTAAATCAAGGTAAAACCATCTAAGTTATTTGCTATTGAGGAAAAAAGGCTTCTTATAAGTTAAGCAGATGAGTTGGCATTAGAATGTTGTATGTTGTTATTCATATCATAGAAATATTGATACAAGTATAAATGTTGAAGGAGATGTGAGGATCATGGATATGCCCCTGTAATCTCCAGTGATGATAATTATTGGGTGGTGTGAATATTATATTGTAGGTACTACTTTTCAATGAACTCAATTATTTGAATTTTATAGTGGGATATAGATGAATTATATTCTTTATACTTTAATATGTTTTAATCTTAAAAAATTTCCAAGGTTTTAAGTTTTGTCAGTGTGTTGATCTGTATATGAAATATTAGGTGAATGATCTGCTACTTTAGGTTTAAGTGTCATGCATCAGTCTGGAGATGGGGTGATCCTTCCTCTTGTGGCTTGGTTAAACAATACATAATTATCAACTTTTTTGTCTACTCTAGTGCAAAATAAAATGTTAATAATAAACTCTGAAATACAATGCTTTCGTGTATGACTATGGTGGAATGCTGTATAATCCTTCCAGTGTATATAGAGGATGTAAAAGGCTACTCCTGATCCTACACTGAGTGCACTGTTAGGTAATTTACTAGATATTCTTTCCTAAGTAGACATCAAAGTTGAATTTTCTTATTGTTTTACCATACAATGAGGTGTTCCCAGGGAGTTCTTTTGGAATATCTTTGTAGATGAATACCCTAAATGAGTAACCCTCATCAGTATAACTCTGTGACATTCCCATGATAGACTGTAGCCAGGACTCCAGGTCTGCATGAAGATTACCATGTAGAAGGATGATGATTATGTGTTTGCCTTCATTTTGGTCTTATCACATATGCAAAGTAAATGATAAGTATTTTCTTTACAAGCTAATAGAACAAAATATTTTTGTCCAGTTATAATGCAAGAAACTTAATTCATAGTTGATTTCTGATAGAAATTGAATAAATGTTTGGGTATGTTTAGGTATTTGGCAATAATTTTTCTATTACAGTATGAGTAAGAGTGTATTATGATGATTACAGGTGCACTTAATAATCATACTGGTTGTATAACTTGCCTATGATAAGTATGTATATAAATTTAAGTGATCATGTGGGCCTGGAGTTGCCATGCCCTGTATTGCTTGTGGATGTAGGGGAACAAGAGATGGTTGTTGTTTTTGCTGTTGTATTCCAGTTATTTGAAATGTAGTTAAACACTAAATTTTCTTGTTTTCTTCACATACCCTTTTCCTATTAATAAAGCAAAACAAGACCATGCCCAAAGATTGAAAGTAAACGGGTAAAGGAAATTATTGACAAAAACCAAGAATGAAAAGGCTGCTGGTAGCTGTGGTATAGTAGGAGAAATGTTGAAAGCATTAGATAATGGTGGCATGATGTTGGTGACTGAATTGGGGAATGTAATTACAGTTAAGTACAGTATCTGTTAATCGAAAAGTTTGGGACCAAGAAGTTCCATAAAATGGTAAAATGGATGATTATGTAAAGTGGATACTGTACCATCATGAACATGTGTCCAAGGAAAGCATGTAATAAACTGCAATATTAGTGTTATTTGGTTTAATTATTAGTTTTTGCACATACCTGTACACTGACCTACTTCATTATTCTCTAACACACTCAATGTTATTAAATCTACAAAATACCTTTCAATGTGTCCTCATTCTCCTACAATCTCCATGGAACGTACTCCAATCTCACATGAAAATAAGTAGATTCATCCATCACACCACTATGCACTTAGTTACTTAGCCAGTTACCTGATTGTCCAAATTCTCCTTTTTTTTTTACAGGTATCCTTCGATTAATGGTGGGGAGGCGTTCCTGAAAACCCAACGTTAAGCGAAGTTATTGCTAAATGAGGGATAACAGCAAAGCATGGAGGGCAAGCAATAGGTTCAAAGGACAGGGCGGTAAACACCGAGTACAGTACCAAACTTCAATACAAACCACGCGATTCAGAGTTTAACGATTTAGTGAGCAAAAGGCGAGTGAACTTCAAACAAATTTCAATTGCATACTTCAAAAACAGACAAAAATTGCCATGATAAACAATAAAATTGATACAATGAATACAAAAATAAACTTCAATAGAATATATTTTATGTACAAAATATAGCTCCTTCCCTCAATCTATCCTCAGGGTAACATGACACAGTTCAGCCAGGCAGTCACCCAGCTAACTCTTAAGACGTGTGTGTGTGTGTCTGTCTGTGTATGCCGTGACGTCACATCAGGGAAGGAGCGCGGCTGGGTGGCGAATTGGTGACACAGTTACAGCCCACTGACACATTTTTTCACTTGACACACATACTGTACACAAACATACATCTCATTTTTCTTATTCTATAGTTTTATACAGTATTATATTTTCTTCATTTCTAAGCCACATTAGAGTACTGTACTGTATTGAATTGATTTTAGCAGAATTTATATAGATTCATTACCTGTAACAATGGCAATATGCCATCTCACAGGCCACCTCATCCCCAGTTTTTTCTCCTTCCCAGCGAGTCAAGCTATCGCTACACCTAATTTTGATCTAACTTTAAGTGAATATACTCCCTTCGGTACAGATACATTCAGTACTTGCCAACAGTGTGTAACAGAGACATGACTGACCGGCCAAGCAACTAACAAGTCGATCAGTACGGAAGAGGATGAAAGTAAAAGTAAAAATGTAATGTCTACTTAAAACCCTCCAAATTATACTTTCTTAACTGAAATTGAAGAATAAAAATACTCTACAGGTATCCCTTGTTACATGAATGGGTTATGTTACTTGAAAACTATTCGTTATGGAATATTCGTATATCAATTTATATCATATGAGAAAAAATAGGGTTTGATTCCTAATGGCAAGAGAACCTCCCCATTATACAGAGAAAAAATGAAATACTGTACTAGAAGCACTGTACTGTAACTACAAAAAATAAAACCGATGTTATACTGCACTTAAAAAAAATTCAATGGTTAAAAAAACAAAATATTTCCCAAACTGCTTTAATATAGTACCTAACTTCACTGTACTTTTGCTCCTAGCATTTCAAGATGTGAATGAAATAAAAATTTGGTATATTACCTCAAGTAGGCAAGTACAGGCATAACCTGCTTTATGGAAATTCACACTTTGAATACGGAAATTATGAAGAAAAAATCGGGATATGGTAAAAATTTCGCCCTTATGGACTTGAAGGGTAATTGTTTGCATTAAAAAAAAGAAATTGCGATATATACTGTATATAAATCGTAAAAAATTAACATTTTATTTCATATGAATTATGGGTGGTTGAAATGGTGTGTATCAGTTTGAATTCACTGAGAAAAAAAAATCACCGAAATTATATACTGTATTTTATTTCGTGTGGATTCTTGATGTCGCTATATGACGTGGGGGACGGTGAGCCTTGGCGGCAGGCCTACCACAGTGCCCACCACCACCAGGACAACAGCGGTGTGCTCAGTGTCAGTGTTCACAACTGTTACCGTGTACCCTTATTCAAAATGAGTGAGAAAATGCCATCAAGTTCAAGTGAAAGCAGTGGTACAAGATTCCATAAAGAATTATGTGTTGAATATTAAACTTGGTGTTTTAATGAGGTAACGCACAGTACTTCCTATAGCACCACCTCATGCACTCAACATCGTTTCTGGTGAGTTAAATTCAAGTGTTGTGTGCATTTATTGTCATGTTAGATCATGAATGAATAATTGTATGCGTTTAAAACTTTATTTTTATTCATATATGTGCTTGTATTACGTTTTTTGGCCGAAAAAAATCCTCGAGAACGCATCTCAAATTATATAATGGGCGTCAATGGGAAAGTTAAAGGGAGTACTACCTCTCTCCCGAAAAGCCGTTTTCTATGGTACTAGAAAACTTCATCTATTCTCTGATAAACTTATTTACGGCATCAAGCTCACACATCATAGAAAACGTGTAGTTGTCAAGAAAACGATCTTGTTTTTAGCGAGTACTCCTGTCATAAGCCGTATACATTTTTATTCTAGGCCAAAGTAAATAAGACCACCGTTTGCTTATGTACATATACTCGTATAATTATATTCACGAACAATGATGTTCCTTAAATTAAAAAAGAAGGCAATAATGTACCACGTTGTTCTTTCACTATCATAAACAAGGGACTTGGGATAAATATAACTTAAGATAGCACCAAAAGCAAGCAGGCGTGTAAACGTTGGAATTGTTTTTGTAAACTCAAAATCTGCCCTGTGTTTCCTGAGTAGCTTGTTTGTGGGACATCCTTTTTTGTTCTTGAAGCTGCACAGGAAATGGAAAACCATTATATGGAGTCTTCGTAATTACGTGATATAACTTGAACAGTTCTCCATTGGAATTTTTTTTTATATCCCTGTATATTCTAATCTGAATTTACCATCATCAGTGCACAATAAAGCTGAGTGATTTGTTTATCAGTGTTACATTATCGACTACTAGGGGACATCAGTTTAATGTTACACATGTAACATCCCAATTGTAGTGTAGAAAATATTTTAATGTTCAGTGCATACAAACGTAAAATTCTATCCCAGTTCGTGGTGCGTCTCTAACTACAGTAATATGGGTAATTCTTTACTTTAGCTCCGCAGTGTTATTTGCATTGTTAGCGAAAGAATTCATTAAAAAAATTACACACCAAGATCACATGAACTCCTTTTTTCATGTATTCATTCGTGCATCGCTATCTATGGATTATACCCTAATTTCGTGGATTTACTGTAATGTCATGAGTTCCCCTGATACTGATCCACAGCTTGGTGATTTTGGATATACCAGAGGCACGATGATCAGTGGAAAATCGGACAATCCAAGGTGCTGTGAGGTATTTGTGTGGGGGGATGGGTGTTTTAATTAGATTACATTGGAAACAATACGGATCATCTTTGATAGTTTTGTGGCAATAGGTGATTATGAAAAGCAGAACGCGAAGCTTATACAGTGAGGGAGTGGTCACCAAAGACCCTTGTATATAGTCATTTACGAAAAGAAAGCAATTGAAGTGTGCCGTTAAGCATTTTATCGTGAACATGGAATCACAGAAAAGCATGTACACTCTAAGATGGAATTCTTTACTGCTGTTATTATGTGCGTTGGGAACCTCCTGGACTTGGCCAGAAAAAGGCCATCAAAACATAAAACAAAAATGATCGTATTAGAAAACTCACAGCACTGCACATTCGCAGGGATGCCTCATGGTTTTTCCTATGCTATAGATATTTTCCACAATCAGTGTACTGGCGAGCTACACTCGTTAGGTCCATCACCATGCACCTTTAACCGGGCCACGAGAGCCTGTAGAAGGGTATATGACTTTTCTGTTGAAATACTATCCTGCCAACCAGAACATGCTGTCACAACGTGTTTTCCTCAATCTGTGTTATGAATGTGTAACTGTGTCACATAAGAAGTTACAGGCATGTAAGGTGTAAAAGAAATGTAAACGATATCAAATGAGACGTAATAATTATATAAGTGTGTTACAAGAGGAATTGTGGACGTGCGATGTGTCACAGTGGCGTGGGTGTTAGTACGTGAGATTTCATCCACGTATAACTGTGTCGCACGAGTATATCACAAGAGGTAGCTATAATTAATGCTCAAATGCGAATTAAGTGTAATACATGTAGGCAAAAATGTCACAACGTGGTTATTATAAACGTGTAGGATTGTCGTCATTAAAGTGTCAGACATAATATGAGGAGCTATATGGGAATAAGAGCGATATGTGAGGTGTTTTAGACAAGCAATTTTGTCGCATGGGGTGTTGAGTATGATGGCGTCACATGATGTATTTTTATGTATGATAGTTTTACATGATTTGTTATAGATGTATAATACAGTGTAGGAACCACAGTTTTGTCTTTACTTTATCTTCTTCGCCACTAATCGGCTTGTTAGCAGCTTGGGCGGTCGGTCACGTCTTTGTATTTGTGCCAGTGTTAGTCGAGTCTGGTTATGAATAAGCTCATACACGGTGTCGTCACCACGCTATCTTGCAGGATGTTCCTAGAGTTTACAACTTTCACCCCCCCTCCCCCTTTGAGAAAAAAATGCCCTGACTTTTCTGATCTTGTGGCATCTTCGACCTTAAGCTGTGACCCCTAGTGGGGCGGGCATCCACCAATTCCAAGTATTAACACTCGACTGAGTAATGCCCTCGGAAATGTTTCTATGAAGTCACCCCTTGTCCACCTATAGTATAAGTTTGGCAACTTGAGGCGCTTTAATTTCTCTGGGTAACTGAGGTGCCGTAGTGCAGGCACCAGTTTGGTGGCACTCCTTTGGACATTTTCAATTAGCCGACAGTACTCCAAATGAAGAAGCGCCTGTTTTTTGAAGAGCGTTACGAGGAACAGACCGTCTAAGTATTTGAACGACCTTTTTATAAGACCTACTAGTTTAGTTGCTTGATTCACCTTCTCACAATGATCCGAGAACTTCAGTTCATTGTCAGCATACACATCCAGGTCCTTTTCAAATTTGGTCTCCGTTAATGCCTTTTATTTATCCCATTGGGTAATACGATACGCCTCCTTACTGTTTATACGACCTAGGTGGTGCATCCTCTTACACTTTGACATTGAATCTTAACAGCCATTCCTTTGACCCTCCTGAAGCTGACAGTTATCTTTCTGTAGCTGTTTACAGTCCGTTTGTTTCTTAATTTCCCTGAATAACTTAGCATCCTCTTTAATCATTTGAATGGAGGGATGTATAGTTTCTGGCATGTCGTTTACGAAACAAACAACAACGGTCCCTACTCTGCCCCGTGTTACCCCGCTTGTCACGGGTACACGGGTATCACCCATAGCCATAAATCTTAGACCCTGGCCGAACCCAGTGAGCCCCGAACAGGACGCAGTATTTGAAGCACTCGACACTCCTTACCTACAGTACACTTTACCACGTGTACAGGACATATGTACATACTGGACTGAAATATAAACTTTTTGTACCAACTCTCAGAGACTGTACTCTGATGTTGGTTTAACTACTTTAAGTTTTCTTCCCTACATACTGTACAACTAATACTTGTACAGTACTGTACTTATGTAAAATATAAAAATGACAACAAATGCACCTATATTTACTGATATAAGAACTACTGAATTTACTTTAATTATATATATGTCTGGTGCTGTACCGGAAATGATTTATATCTCAACCAGAGCTCATATTAATATGCCTTATCCTGTGTCTGCTGCATCCGTAGTCAGAGCGTAGCACGAATCATCCTACCTCTTCCTCCCGCCTCCTCCTCACACCCACTCCATCGTGCCATCACCAGACACTGTGAATGATTACAGTATTTATATACCGTAGATGTGCCACATGTAGTGTCATTTATATATAAAGGTGTTACATGATGTTACTCTCTCCATGTAAAGGTGTGTCATAAGGCATCATAGATGTTTATAGGTGTTAAATGCGGTATGAAAACTTGAAGTGGTGCCATTTAAGGTGTTTAGACATTTAATTTTGATATATGAAGTGTTACAGACGGGAAAGGGTGCCATGGGAGATGTTATTTGTGTTTTAAGTGTTATAGATGTCACGATGCTGCAAGATTACATATTGGTCAAAGTAAAACAACTCTGCAAAAAGAGTTGGAGGATATTTTTCTCCTGTAGAATTGTTGATAAATGGAACTGCATTCCCCTTGTAATTGCAATAAGCAACCATTACATCACAAACTCTCTACTCGACAGAACGCTGCATGTGACAGGGATCCCTTCATAATCTCTACAGCAGCCTTATACTTATAGAAACTCCTCAGTATCCTTAGCTACCTACCTACTGTACTGAGGCAGATGATGGGTTTGTCCTCATTGTGACCTGACCCTATTGGAAAGCACACCCTCATCCTGTTTCTCCCATCAGGATTCACCTGACCTTTGCTCTATAATTCCCTGTTATATTCGTCCTCCAGACATGAAACTGAGCCTTTGGACGTAATTGGTTGTCTTCTTTACCAGAAGTCTTGTTATACCACCCTTGATTACTCTCTATTATTCACGATAATTACTTCTCCCGGCCTTCACGTTTTGCTCCTTCACTTGCCTCAGCTCTGCTCTCAGAGGAACAAAACTGTTCCAAGGTGAGAGCTGAGAACGTGGCTGCTTTTGTTTATTACCACACTAACCCCGGGAGCTTCCTGGTGTATAATTGGTCTTCACAAAGGTCAGTGATTTAATATTTTGGATATGTAAAACAAATACCGGCCGGGTTGATTCGTGTGGGCTTCTGCTTGGTTAACGGCATAGATCGGCCCATTACTTTATACTCTTTCAATATACTTATGCACTGTACTTGTTTGGCATTAATACCAAAGACAATTGTTTCTGCATCTTGGCAGGTCATGGACTTGTCGGGAGAAATAAAAAAGGTGTCCAGCCTATCTATTAAGTCTCCCACGTCAGACTGCGTGTGATCAACGATACAAACAATGGTCACGGGCGATGAGCAAAGGATTAAACTAATCCATCAACAATTAAAAGTTATGAGAGATAAAACTCTGTACGAGTAACGAAATGCATGAGACTCCAGTCTTGAGATCATGCTTCTCAAACATTTTTCTCAACATAAACAAGCCTTTTAAAATGATCGACCTAAGTTTATGCAGCCACCATATTCATTGACAATATTTCATAAGATTGGTAAGATAACAAATAAAGAATCTGTATGGGAACTTAGTGTTTTTATCATAAATGTGCGAAAGGACGTCTAATTTAATTGTCAGCGTTAGACACACACATGGTGTAGTGTTGCCTTGGATCACCCATTGTTTTAAAAGTCTGAAGCAGAAGATGGCGCAGTACAGGATGAGTGTATTTGTATTTATTTTCTAATTCATTTATTAATAATGAAAGTTATTGCACATTGAAAAGCCAGCCTCTTCTCTGCGCTCGACATGGCACCACTGCCAGAGTAAGTGGCGCCGGCGTGGGATGGTGGAAGTGTTGCCTCAGCTGATCGACGCTTAAATGTCACAGGTTGTCTTGTTCATCTTTAATATAGTAACTACATAACTGTAATGCAGCGTTCATCATTATTTTAGATCTTTATGTTATGTTTATTAGTCAATTAAAAGAAAGCTGTTATGTTCTATAATTAGTGAACAAATCTGTTTAGTGAAGAATGCTCATTTAATAGATTATAATTTGGTGCATTATATTACAGGTCATCATACAGGTATTAATGTTTGATTTTATTTTCAAACATCTTAGAGTGTATGTTGATAAATGTGGTTCAAGAGCTTAGGAAATGAAGGCGACTCTGGGCCTCTCCTGCAGTCCTCATGATTGACAATTGACGACCAAATGAACACAAAATCGTGACATCTCTTGACTGCTCTATCCAACCAATCCCAAGTCCGTTTAAGGGAATGTGGGCGGCGCTTACATGCTGTAGACTTGTAAATAGTACATGAATTGCAGCCAAGGTTTGCACAGGTGTAAAGTACTAAATGCAGTGCTGCTGACGTGTACAGTACTATATGAGGTGCTGCTGACGTGTACAGTACCACATGACTATTGCTAACGTGTACAGTACTATATGAGGCGCTGCTGACGTGTACAGTACTATATGAGGCGCTGCTGACGTGTACTGTATTATATGAGGCGCTGCTGACGTGTACAGTACTATATGACTTGCTAACGTGTACAGTACTATATGAGGCACTGCTGACGTGTACAGTACAGTACTATATGAGGCGCTGCTGACGTGTACAGTACTATATGAGGCGCTGCTGACGTGTACAGTACTATATGAGGCGCTGCTGACGTGTACAGTACTATATGACTGTTGCTAACGTGTACAGTACTATATGAGGCGCTGCTGACGTATACAGTACTATATGAGGCGCTGCTGACGTGTACAGTACTATATGAGGCGCTGCTGACGTATACAGTACTACATGAGGCGCTGCTGACGTGTACAGTACTATATGAGACGCTGCTGACGTATGTAAATAATACCATATTACTCACAGCCATTCCTTCGTTCTTTCCTTGACTTCTTAAACTTTTCTTCCCTTACGGTTCCGAAATTTCAGGCAAATCACGCAATGCGGCTCGTATGTACTGAGTTTGCTGCATTCATTACCATATATTGGATTTTACACGCTGCTAAATGTGTCTATATCAATGAATGTCTGACAGGGAGTTTGGTATCGGAAGAGCGATTAATACATTGATCCCTAGTTCTCTCATCAAAATCAACTTGGATTTTATGAGTGTTCCGTATACTTACATGGGGAATGGTGCGGGGAGTGTGGGAGGGGCGCGGCTGGTGCAGCTCTGGGGATGATGGGAGGCGAGCGGGAGGCAGTAGCGGGGAGACAGTTGTGCCGCCAGTGCCATCCTGGACGCCGTCGTGCATCTACCACGCTCACTGCCGCCGCCGCGCTACACCGCCCTCTCACTCACTCTTCCAACCCTCACATTTTCGTGTCCCACTAACCATTTTCTTGCTCGCAAATAATTCCCACTACCATGGTCGTAACTGTATATAAAACTTGCATGACAAACAGAAAGGGAGAACCGTGTGTTTTTTGTGATTAAGTGATGAAGTGCCTTTTAACTGTCTGATTTTATATACCTAGCAAAGGCAACAATACTGTTGCTCTTATGGGTACAAGAATCCCACATGACATCCCGCGTGTCTGTTGTATGGTGACGTGTAGGTCAATGTTGTGGGTGTGAGTATTGCAGATGAATAAGGCTCCTGCCGCGACGCTACTGCCAGGGGGGAGACTAGCGTAACGCTTCACGAAGAGACCTCTTCCAGTGTCTCGACAAGGGTACCAGACAGAGATCCAAGGTGGCAAGGTGATAGGCCTGCAACAGCGTCCCGTCCAACACTGTTGCCTTCCTCTACTATGAGACGGACGGATCTACAGGTGAGTGTGAGGTACACGTGGGTCTGTCTCACCATTCATCCTCCTGTCTTTTGCTCACCCCCACACCACTCGCATGTAAATTACTACTGTAACAAGAAATCTCATACTGCTACACCCCACCCCCCCTCTCTCACGTAATAACACTGAACGGAAATCAGAATGTACAAAATCTTGAAAGGAAAAAAAAATCATATATATTGATCTGGCAAAGAGCGTCCAGGAGTGGTGATGATTTAACTAGGTAAGTAGAGGGTACATGTAAGGGGCGGGCGGGCATTACCTAGGTGGTCTGGGCTTAAGGGCTCTCTCACTAGAGTTTGTATAAACCCACAACACCACCCTCACCACACTTGTCAGGCTTCACAGCGTCTCGCACAGTCTACATACAAAGCTCACTATTATAGGTCAGATTAATAAACAATGACCATAATTAATATTAAGGTTGAACCTAATAAACACACAAGAGAAAAAACAGCAACAACTTTGTGATGATGTGACTTCAGAGGATGATGTGGACCTTTAAAGACAGCCTCACTGTATGGAGCTAGGGCGGTGGGCTAGTGTGAGTTTATGTGCTGTTAGGATGGCTGTGTGTACTGTATATATGTTTTGAGTTTGGCTGTGTGGGTGTGACTGTGTAGCTGTGTGGGTGTGACTGTGTAGCTGTGTGGGTGTGACTGTGTGTAGCTGTGTGGGTGTGACTGTGTGTAGCTGTGTGGGTGTGACTGTGTGTAGCTGTGTGGGTGTGACTGTGTAGTGTGGGTGTGACTGTGTGTAGCTGTGGGGTGTGACTGTGTAGCTGCGTGGGTGTGACTGTGTGTAGCTGTGTGGGTGTGACTGTGTGTAGCTGTGTGGGTGTGACTGTGTGTAGCTGTGTCGGTGTGACTATGTGATAATTAATCTGTTTGAGTGTGTAAATGTGAGTGCGACTGAGTGTGTGACTGTGAGTATGACTTTCTAAGAGCCTCATTGTTTGAGTGTGATATAATGCAGGTATGAGTATTGTGTGTGAGTGAGTGAGTGAGAGTATGAGAGCCACTCTGTATGATAACTGTGTAAGTGAGATGAGGTGACTGACTGTATTGAGAGTTAGTATGTATGAGTGACTGTATTGAGAGTTAGTATGTATGAGTGTGACTGTATTGAGAGTTAGTATGTATGACTGACTGTATTGAGAGTTTGTATGTATGAGTGACTGTATTGAGAGTTAGTATGTGTGACTGACTGTATTGAGATTTAGTATGTATGAGTGTGACTGTATTGAGAGTTAGTATGTATGAGTGACTGTATTGAGAGTTAGTATGTATGAGTGTGACTGTATTGAGAGTTAGTATGTATGAGTGTGACTGTATTGAGAGTTAGTATGTATGAGTGTGACTGTATTGAGAGTTAGTATGTATGAGTGTGACTGTATTGAGAGTTAGTATGTATGAGTGACTGTATTGAGAGTTAGTATGCCTGTATAATTATAAATGAAACGCGAGTCAGTGTATAAGGGTGTGACTATAATGAGATTTAGTGTGTATTAGTATGACTGTAAGGGTTACTGACTGACTGACTGACTGACTGACTGACTGTATATATGGTGGTTATAGGTTGGTGTGACTGAAGGCGGATGTGGCCAAGCGTGTGACCATCTGTGTCCTTATGTAAAGCGGTGATATAACTCTTATGAATAACACGATGCATGAGTGGTAGTATTTAGTATAATAGAGAGTAAAATGATCGTGTGTAACCTAACCTAATCCAAGATGGTTTGGACCGTGAGTGGCTGAACCTATATGTGATTAACTGTCTGAGATTATGTTTTTATTTGGATGTAATAGTGAATATATGATTGTCTATGGCTTTATTTGGTGTTTGACATTGTGCCTTTGTTTGGTGTCTGACATTGTGACTTTGTTTGGTGTCTGACATTGTGACTTTGTTTGGTGTCTGACATTGTGACTTTGTTTGGTGTCTGACATTGTGACTTTGTTTGGTGTCTGACATTGTGACTTTGTTTGGTGTCTGACCCTGTGACTTTGTTTGGTGTCTGACATTGTGACTTTGTTTGGTGTCTGACCTTGTGACTGTGTTTGGTGTCTGACCTTGTGACTTTGTTTGGTGTCTGACCCTGTGACTGTGTTAGGGTGTGAGTGAATATGGTGGTGTTAGTGCCTGGGTGATCCCGTGTTTGTGTGTGAATTTACGCACTTGTGTTTCTGGGAAGGTGATGGTGTAAACAAGTGGAGTGAACGTAGGAATGACTATGTAACTCTACCTGGGTATCGATATGTTGAATTTTTGTTCCGTGTTAATGTGGTTTAGTAAAAGATTATTTTGTTCGTATTTTACATAAGGCTGTGGTTGTGTGGTGATGTGAGCATGCCGAAATGAATATGAAGGGTTAGTGTGTGTGAAAGTATCAGAGGACAGGTTGATGAAGCCATTCGCCCATTCTTTCATTTTTGAAGTTAGGACATCTTCAAGTCAGGCGTAGAATACTTTCTTATTCCTAATTGTCTGGAAGTTAATGACTGGCGTTTAAGTGGTTTGTCTCCAGTGCTTTAGTTAAGATGTTTATAAGACTAAGGACCTTTGACTCCTTGACGAACATATCTGCTGTATGATAATCACACAAGTAGCGGCTGTGAGTGGGATTGGTGAGGATTAAAATGTCATTGTTGGCTAATTTCGCACACTTTGCACACTCAAATATTTATAAACACTCAATTATTAACAATACATCCAATATTTAGTTGGATACTTATTTTAGCTGTTGGTTAACAATCACACATTGGAACACTGTTTGGTGGTATTCTACAAGGTCGTCGTAGCCTCACGTCTGTTTGGAGCTAACTGTTTTAAGAACCTTGTAATCTCTCTCAGTTAACCTCTTCTTCTGTCCTTTGAACGACTAGCTGGCGGTGACCTATACTGACATGACAGTTTCATCATGCCAGGGAGCCTACTCTATTTCTTTACACTATTAGCACTGGGGAACTGTCTAGGAACAACTCCTGTGGTTGAGATGTTTCCTGAACTTATGTAGCTCAAAGAACTGTTCCTCCTTCACGGTATTATACAATAAAAATAACCGATAAGAACAAAATCCACTTAGAAATTTGGAAAGCCTCTCTTCTCGTCACTATCAAATACAGCATAAAGATGGGAATCGATCAATGAATTTTAATAACACGACCCTTCCCTCCCTCGGCCCTCATCCCCAACTTAGATCCAAGGTCTATCGTTGGTTTCTCAGACCGAATCTCGTTTCCTCTACTCGGTACAAACTGCGGTGGACTATGAACTACCGAAAACTTTCCCTCAATTAATCCACTTCCTTATGCTTCGTGGTTCCAGTAACATTTGATAAGAAAAGATGAAAGTAATTAACCATAGTACACTGTGGTAGTAATAGAAGACGCATGTGAGCATGGAGGAGAACAGAGGTAGAGTCCAGTGTGGCCAGGGTTGTGTGCTGTAATAACTTATATTAAGTAAAATCATCATACAATTTTACAATTGGTTTGGCAAGTATATAGGTAATGCAGGTATACATAGACCGTGCAGGCATTCAGTTCCCAATGTACCTAGACAGTATAGGTATAGGCAAAAACAATAATAAACCCTGCATGAATTAAGAACAAAGTGGAAGTTCCCGAGTGTTCACTGGTAGGCGACAAGGAGAGAACGGTGTTGGATAAACAAATGGGACCAAGACGGTAAAGTCCTTACAGAAAGTTGAATTGAGAGGCTGGTGAAGCTCTCTTAAACAGTACCAAGGGATACGTCTGTAGAAATGCCTGCCATGTAGTGTTATATCACTTTCTGTAGACATAGGCACGTGAAAAAACAGTATGACTGTAAGGAAGTATCTTATAGCAGTGGCTAACAAAAAACAAGCCAATTAAGGTCGCCAAAAGAGGTTCAAGTTATGAGGAAACGAAAACGCGTCATTCAGGAGGTGTAGAAATTCCTCATTCACAAGAGACAAATATAGTACGTAGAAAAAAATATCTGGTCGTATTCTGTGGTCGTTGTTTAGAGTAGTCAACAGATGTTGATACCAGCGTCAAGTTTATGCTTCTACTGTTGAGCTGTTCTCATTGCCATGTGACTTAACTACTACCATATTATGTTCTTTTTCTGTTTTATTCCTAGCATAGCTACCGTTTTGTGTTCTTGTCATTTTGTTTGTAATCGTGGCGTTTGACATATATAAATCAACGCTGGGTCGTAGATTTTGTACTGTATAATTCACCTATTGTATTTCTTTTTGTACCTGTTGGGTTTGATACAGGTGTCCAAATACAGTTATCTGATACAGGTGTCATAATACAGGTATCTGCTACATGTATCATAATACAGTTTTATGATAGTGATGTTAATATAGGTACTGACACCTATATTGATTCAGCATGCATATAGACACTTCTTAGTATACAATTCACATAGACAATGACAGTATACAAACAGTACAGTAAATTCTACATGTTAAGTGTTTTCGTTTTTTCTCAGCTAATATTCAACCATCCCCCAGCACCTGTTGACATCTCTCTCTCATCCTCAGAAAAATTCCCTGAATTTATCATTGTCCTGAGCGTTTTACCTTTCGGGACTCTTCTGAAAGAGGTGCGGCAGTCTAGTGCATACAGTGTTCGCCTCCTGTCCTTTGGGTTGATGGTTAGCGCCAAAGCTCTAGTTTCTTTGTGGACAGTAGTACCCAGCGTGGAACTCAGTGGGTAGTGGCCAAGCAATGTAATAGCCTCTGTCTACTCTACATACAGACATTTAGTATTTATATAAATGAAGGTTATTTACACCGATTAATTGATAAGCAAGCATTACCCGACTAAACTAAATAAAGAGCAACTAAGCATACCGTATCACTTATTTTTCACATGCTAGATGACATTCTCATGTCCTTCACCCACCTCTGATTCTCACAGCTAAACACGAAGCGCTTGGCCATCTGTGGACTTAACACTTGTATCTCAGACAAGACAAGCATTTTA